GTTTCTCTGGACCGGACCAAAAACTTACGAAGGCTTTTCTTGTCCTGGGCATTGCTATTTTAGCAATAGTCTTTGTCTGCACTGTCTGTTTGGGTCAGAAGGCTGCAGGAGGGACCCTTCCTTGCCCAGGACGATCCACCACACACTGTCCCAGTAGATGCCCTCCATCAGCATCCATGGGTAGTGGGCCACCTGCTCCGCTCGGATGTCTTTCCCAGCCTTGGCCAGACCCTTCACCACCTCCTACCACCTTTATTCCTCCACCTTAGCCAAAACCTCCAGCTCCTCCTCCCAGCAATGAAACAAAAAAAAAGAGAGTCTTATTGGGAGACAGTCACATAAACAGGGCATAAAAGCCACTCTCATTCTTTTAATATTTAATAAATAGTTATAAAACAACATGAGGTCAGTAGGCACAATGAAAGGCCTAGGTCACACAGTTCTGAGCCAGGTTATAGTTCAAAATGGACACTGGTCTTGAATGACCAATGTCCAAAAAGAAATGGGAGGAGTCAGACAGAGCCCCCACAGTGCTGTATTCTTTACCTGGCTTCCTCCCCTACAGTGTTGTATTGAACAATAGTTTCCTTTGCTGTCACCCCCATCCCCCCAACCCCAAGCTTTGCATTTGAATCCTGCTTTTGCTTGGAGGTTATATGTAAACCCCATTGTGCCTGCATATAGTATGATTAAGAATGTTGCTGATGTAACTTGTATGAATTCCCTACTTGTCATCCCTTTTAAAAGTAACTTGCCTGCCCACCCTTGGTGGCGGCAGCTCCGACTGACTCCATTTCCTTATACAATGAAATAAAAGACGTCTTTCCTGTTTTCTCAAAAAAAATAAAATAGTCACGTTCTAATTCGATCCATGTTAACAATTACAACGCAGAGAGTTGATTTTACTCTTTTTCTTACCATTTAGTGGATGGAAGCACAGTAGATGCGGAGAGTGTGATTCTGACTACTGGCACATTTCTGAGAGGCATGGTCGTAATTGGATTGGAGATGCATCCAGCAGGACGTTTAGGGGATCAGCCTTCAATAGGGTTGGCTCAGACTCTGGAGAAGTTGGGGTTTGTGGTGGGGAGGTTGAAGACTGGGACTCCACCTCGAATTGCCAAAGATTCCATTAATTTCAACATTCTAAACAAGCAGATGCCAGATAATCCATCTATACCATTCAGCTTTATCAATGAGACAGTGTGGATTAAGGTAAGTAAATTTATGAAAAGCTTACTTTACAGTTTATATTGGCTATTCGTAACAAGAGAAAGCCTAGCTCTTTTTTTTTATTTTACAATTCACTATTGTTCAGAGTGCAAAAACATGATCTTTTAAAGGATCAGCAAAAAATAATTTGACTGATGGGAGACTATTTTGTCCTGTAAGCCTTCATCTTAAGTGAGAATAACAGCATAATTAGAAGAGCGTAGTCAATGTCACTTAAATGTGTATGTA